ATAGATTCAATATATATTTATCTGTCTAAAAATCATTACAACATTTTTATAACAGATGTTTAATAATTTGTTTATAATAGTTGCAACAGATGCAGCCCAATTAATTTTTTTTAATTCTTTTCATTCTCATAAATTTTCAAGATAAACCAAAAAGAATAATGAAAATATATTATAGGCTATAGGCCTACAGTTTCTCCCAATACTTGGGGATATCAAAATAAGGTATTTTTATTATTTTTAAATAAAAAAAAATACTAAATTTTAATAACCTTTCCTTAACATGTAAATCATTTATTATAGTTACAAGATAAGATTTTTTTAAAATACATATAAGACTGAGTACAGATTGCGTAGGTTTATCATACATGAAAACAAATTAGTTTTTATAAGCTAAGTTAAACTAGTCTAATGTATCTTATTATTAGATATAATTAGATAAAAATCTACTTATTATTTATATTCATTTTTATTTTGAATAAAATTTAATATAAATATGAATTATATTTGAAAAATCTGATAAAACATTATTTTTTTTAAGTGGAATATCATCTTATATTAGTGAATTAATGTACTGTACAATACAGTACATTTCAGAGTGTTCTAAACAAGGACAAAATAGTAACATGACAGTCGTATACCAGGATTTTGAGAATATGAGTGATGCTCAAGGCATATTCGGGAAACCAAGACACGCGCCTCCTGTCGTTTTTCGGAGAATGTTACTCAATTATCTTAGAATTGTTTTAGTTACCTAATCTTACCTGATTTGAAGCCACGTGATACTCGTTATTATATTTATTTTTATTTAAAATTAACAAAACTGATTGCTCAGTATCAAAGGGTGCTGCAGTACCATAAGCACCCCTCCCCCGGATCTCCTCTGGAGCATGAATTTATAGACTTGAAACAAATATCATGTAAAAAAAAATAATTTTTTAGGCTTCTTAAATTTCATAGTTTACATTTGTTATTCTATTTTTATTTGATTATAAATGGAAATTTAGCACAGAAATGATATTAATGCTAATTATAAATCAAAATGAATATTTAAGCAGTCAATACTGCATCTTATTCTTCATTTATTAATTAAATAAACTATATTTGTAAATGTGTAAACAAGTAACATAATGTAGCATAATTGTTAAAATGCTTTTAAATCAAGTAACAGAACGGTAAATATAAGTAATATGTTCATGAAAAGCATGTTTGCATGTACCGACTACTAATTTTACTTTTTCTATTCGACAATTAACAACAATATTTATTTTCTTCCAGTGTAAACATTTCTTCCCCCCTTCAAATTACCTCTGTAGCATCCTAATGATCGATAATTTGAAGTAATATTTCAAAACATATTTCTTCGAAAGTAAACTTGAATTCAAAGAATGCACAGGAGAACAACAATCCTGGGCAAAAATGTTAGAAGTTAGCTGTCATCTTTGCAATCAGCTGATGTGTAAACAGGCAGACTGGATGAAAGCAACGTGTCATTATTCCATTAAACAGTGGGACAGAAGTACGGTAGAATTAGCTCAGTAGGGAGGCCTGTCAACCGACCTCGCGACCTCCTAATTACAGAGAATATTGTCTCACAATACGAACAGTTTGTTCTCTAGTCTACTCTTCTGGACACATTAACCTCTAGAATGACAAGTACTCGTCCGGTTATGTATCAAAAGTTGTTGGTTGCAAGCCGTACAAGTAATTCTAGTTATAATTTTAGAAATACCGACAATTCAGATTTAACTTAGAAAATAAGTTATAACCAATTATCGTTAATAAACAAAAGTTTAAAGGAAGAAAACTGTAGATTTGTTGCTTTTATATGATCAAGTATATTTATCCAACTAACTAAAGACTGCTGTTCGAATCGAGTTGTTCAATCTAACACGAAAATAATGAAAATGTTTTTTAGACAAGAATAAAGCCTATGGCAGTTGATAGCAATGAAATATTTTGAGGAAAAATCTATTAAAACTTATCCTCGTATTCGCTTGCAATAGGCATAAAACCCAAATGTTTCTAATTATACACTAATAAATTCTGCAATAAAATTTGAATTCAAAATTCAACAATAAACTTTTCATAAAAATAAATTTTGCAAATTGCATTTGAAATATGAAAAAAGAATTTTGTTAATGAAATTTATAAATATCGAAAATTATAAATTAGATTAAAGATTTCTATATTAATAAATGAAAACTGTTTTAAAGACTGATTCACTCTGCACCTGTGGGTGTGCAAGTCTTTCCTCTTCGCAGCGAACAATCTGCCGTCGTTAATACAGTTCTTCGTCTTCGATCGATTCAACAGGAAGAACGGTTTAGTCCTCACTGCTCGTGTATGAATAATTAAATAATCTTTCCCGTCCTTAACAATCGCGACTCGGCCCTGTCGCTGAATAATTTTATGAGGCTAGGTCATTAGAATTTCTCCAGGACGTTAGAAAGTCCCAGCCGGCAACCACCAGGGACCTATCAGAATAGCACACTCTACTAGAAGATGTATAGGCTACACATCATTAAGTGCAGATAGGACAGAAGGTAGACTTCATCTTAATTCGAGTCAGTTGGCTGGAAAAATCGCAAATTTTACCAAATGCCAACTTAGTCAAAATCATTAGATCAGAAGTGACGTCTTTTCATTTCATTGGACTGTTTGTTGTTCACTTCCAACAAATCGAAAGGAAGAATTATAGCTTAACGATTTTGATTAGAAGTAAAAAAAAATCTTTCGTGTTATCTATATGTTTGAAATCTGAATTTTTCTACTAACAGAACAGAATGAAGTAACATATGAATAATTCATAAACTAAATTATATTTTTTACAGTAGAAAATACTCTACGAAAACATTAATAATAAGCGAATTAAATTATTTTACTACACCCATTTAAAAATTTTCTTAACTCAGAACATTTACAAAGTAATAATAATATTACAGTAATTGAAAGTATGAAATTTGTCACTAGTAGATTCATATTATTTTTTCAACTTAATTAAACTTAATTTCAAACTAATTGAATAATATGAATTTTTATAGTAGTGACACGAATTATAAACGTTTCAAGGGCTGTCTTTTCGAATGTTCATATATAAAATTATTTTTCTATATTACATGGCACAAAAATTAAAAAAAATAAAATCGAAATTTAAAAGATATAAATTAATATTCTAACACATCGTTCCAGTTTTTCATAACTATACTTATAATGCATTCATATTATGCAAGTTAATCTTTCGTATCATTAATAAGACTAGCTCTAATCTAATTGTTTATGATAAGCACACACCTACACAATGCATTATTCATAATATCACAATACTATTAATTGATATTTAAATAAGTATAAGGCATTTGATTCCCACAAGAGATTTTGACGATTTTTCAATTCTGAGAATCGCGAATTAATGTTTATCTCGGAATAGCATCGAGAAACATTTCATTTCCCAATTGACTAAAGAAGCGCAGGTGAAATCACGTAAAGCTTTAGACTTTTCATCTGTTTAATAGACACAGAAATGGGGGAGAACTCACCGCATAATTTTCGGGTGAAAATAAGCGGTCTATGACAGATGCTCCGCTGTGTACGTGACCTCTTCCTCTGTAATTATTATGTTGTCACCTGGGAGATCCCTGCAGCACTTTGCATCGTTGAAAACGCGCTTTGGTCCACTACATCGAATATTTTCCCTTTTACAAATGAAATAATTATTAAATTCGCACAGAATTGTCTTTATTATACAGAGATCTTTCCACTTATAATGTACTGTACAGTACAGTACCCTAGATATATTATTACTTTATATTTTATTACTCTAATCACCGGTCTTTATCAGAAATATAGATCATAAATATGCCAAAAAATGATTAATATGTTATATAATCCGTTGTAATAGGTATTATATAAAAGTGAAACATCTTGCGAAGAAATAACAAAGAAGCGTGACAAAACAGCGGTCATTGTAATCAGTAGACCATGAAAAGAGTTAGGCTTATACCTGTATTAATTAATATTTATTTTTTTAAAAAGAGTTCTTTATATATAAAATAATTTATGTAAATGTCTTGGAAAAAGTATGAATTTTTATATAACCCAAGTAATGATATTTTGTTTCTCATAGTACTTTTAGACTACAAAAAAATTGAATAAAATGTTGTTTCTAGGCCTGAAAATATAAGTTTACAGCAAGCAATGAACTCTAATTTGAAATATATCTATGTATATATTTTATTAAATAATGTAAGGCTTCATTTTTATAATAGAAAACTAATAAATGAATAAATTATAGCTTCAAACATCCTTTTTTTGAATTAAAAAAAATAATTAATTTTTCATAAATATTAATACAAAATTTATAAACAGAAAAATAAAAGTTAATGAATAGAATCTGAAAAATGTTCAAGACTACTTTTAATACAATCTAATGTAATGCATTAAAGTACTTTTATCATATATAATTATAAATCATAAATAATAAAAGAATATAATACATTAATGTTCATTTAAAAAATTTTTTATACAGTACTAATTCTTCTTAAAGATAAAAACAAATTAAAACGCTTTTGTAAAATTATTTATCTATTTGATTTGTATTTTATATTAAATTTTTTATATATAAAATTAAACAAAGCAATTAAGGCTTTGAAGACATTCTAAGCCTAATTCTAATATGGCACGTGACCATATATACTGTACTACTATAGTATAATATGGCACGTGAATAAATATAGCCTACTAATAGCATCTTATTTTAATAATTAGCACGTACCAAGATTATTTAAAGATTTTAATAAAATTAACATTTTTTTTTCTTTAACTTAAGATAAATTTATTTTTTAACTTACAAAATTCGCCCTTTTGTTTAAACATTGAACGTTGCCTTAGTAACGGAGTGATCTTAACCAATCGGAATGAACCAAACGATAGTTTAGCTCATTCTGATTGGTTAAGATAGCCAAACGATAGCTTAGCTTTCGATTCGGATAAAATGTCGTCTGGCTTAAGAAAATATCGTCTGGATTTTTTACTTCTGTTCATTTTATTTACTCTTTACATTAAATTACTCAAATGTTATTTTTAATTAATGTTTTAATCTAACTGATCGTTAATTGTTTCTTTCCAGAAAAGGTTCGTAATTGCTCTTTCATTTTGTTTATTTTCTATGAAATTTTTAAATAATTACAATGACGTTTAGATCTAAATATCAATTTTTTTCCATTTATAATGATTATTTTTATAATTTACGATTTTTAAAGCATTAATAGGCAAAAGAAGACAATGATTTATATATTTGCAATAAAATTTAAATAAAGATTAAGTTTCAAAAATACAGTATAAAACCTGTTCAAAACGGAACCTTAGTAAAACGGAAACCTGCCTAAACGGGAGGAATTCTTCGAAACGTAACGATTTTCTATGTTAAAAAAAAGTGTTGAAAACGGAAACCCGCTAAACCGGAAAAATATTTTGTACCATACGAGTCCGGTTTACACAGGTTTTACTGCACATCAATGTTGGAAACTTTTAGAATCGTTACAGTTAAAGGTTGTTGTTTAAAATACAGTAAAACCTGTGTAAACCGGACTCGTATGATACAGAATACTTTTCCGGTTTGACATGTTTCCGTTTTCAACTGGTTTTTTTTTTAACACAGAAAATCGCTGCGTTTCGAAGAATTTTTCCCGTTTTAGACAGGTTTTACTGTAAAAATTTAATTATTAGATTTTTATAATTAAAACAAAAAGTATACTTTGGAATCTTTTTTGTTTGTTTGTTTGTTTTTTTATGATTGTTCTCTATTAGACAAAAATTGTCTGAAGGAAATTTCGTAATATTATGCTTTATTGTTTCGAATTTTGAAACAGTATATTAAATGTTTTTTGCTATTTTAAATCTATCATAGAACGAAGGACGCTTTCATATCTTCCTAATAAAACCACATCTACCGTATGTTCACCTTTTGACCTGCAAATCAGTCCACCATATCTTGTTTTCGACACAGGAAAACTATTCTGTGTCGAAAACAAGCAAGATTGAAAGGAAAAAAAAAGAAAAAAGAAACTGCTTAACTTTCTGGCGGATAACTTCTGTAGATTTCTGATAGGAGAAAATTTAATAGATAATTTGATTGATGTTACTTGTAATTTTATCATTTTTCAAATTATATATTCTAAATAGTTTGAGATTAAGCTTTAAATAATTATTATTTGTTGGAATACAAAATTATTCAAAATTACATAAAATTTAAAATATTATTTGATTTCTAACTTTTAATGACTTTTAACACAAATTATCATAAAATTGTTATAAATAAATTGACTCTAGGCCTGTTATACTGTATATACGATATTCAATAATTATTACGTAAAATGTAAAATTTTATTTCTTAAAAATTTTATTTGCATATTCACAGAAATTGAATATTATCTTGTCTAATCTATAATTAATAATTAGCTGTTCTTAGTAAAATTAATTGATATTTAACATTTTTTTAATTCAATGAAAATGGAATCTTGGAACTTTAATTGTAATGTTATTGAATAGTCCTAAGAAAATTTTTAAAACACTATATCTAGATTTTTGTTTACATTAAAAATTAAAATTAAAAAGAATTACAATATAAAAATAACAATTATAGGTTATAAACAATCATTTTCACTTTAGATTTTGAGTTTATATTTATCTTCAATAGATAAATAAATGAAAACCCAAAGATGAATTTTGATTAATTAAGACTAAAAAAAAAATAAAAGTATCTATCGTAATTCCAGAAACCTTTGAGATAAAGTCAAATTTATAAACAAAAAGTAAATTGATGAAAACAAAAGATTTATTGATAAACTAATCCTCTACTTAAATGCAACCTTGAAATTAACTATAAAAAGAGCCGGAAATGAAAAGTACGCAATAAAAATTACAAATGAATTTAGTGAATTTTAAAAATGCAAAATTTGATTTACTTTTATGGTGAAATATTTTGTTTTACAACATAAAAGTAGTATTTAGGTTATTACAATCATAGAGAGATCTTAATCTCCTATTATATCACGTGATGTTACAACTAAAATCACGTCTTCATCTTCGTGACTTTTTCTTCTTTGGCGAGTCACACTAACTTATTCGCGATTGGATTGTTGTAGTTTCTATAACCTCTCCGTGTGAATGTACGTTTAATCCTAATACTGTCTATACATTCATATTTCATATTATAACACGGAATCATGGCTGAGTGAGTTGAAAAATGAACATAAAATAATACTCCTAGTAAAAAGTTTTAAAAATAGTAAGTACTAAATCAGCTCTAAAAATTGACTGATACGAATATTAAAAATTATTAATCAATAATAAATAGATTATTAGTAGCCTAAAAGTGAAAATAGTCAATTTGAGCTTAAATAATAACTAAACTGTAGATTAATGCTATAGTTATCTCAATCTGATTATTATTATATTATTCTATTCATTTACTGAAAGGTATAACATTAGAAGATAATTTTTTAGCATAAACATCTATATGCGTATGCTATCCACGTGTCTACTACGTTGTAGCCTTTATGATGCCAATTATTATACATGAATACAATGGGAAAAAATCTATGGATTAATAGATGGGCTATTATAAAAGCTGTGGAAAGCATCTGTGTAAATTTATTTTTACAACAGAACATCAGGTGTTTCGTGTTCTGTTTTATATATTATTTTATACAGTTTATTTTAACAAGATGAACCGTTTGATTTTCCGTTAAAAATCTTATAATATAGGCCTATACGCACACAATTGATAACAATAAAAACTGTTGGATCACTTTCCTTTTTTTTTCTATAAACTTGATAAAAGTTTGTTTTACAAATCGATTTTAAAATTATTGTAAAATGGAAAAGAAATATCATATTAAAAAATATAATCATCCTGTAATAGCATATTAAGATTAGATTTTAATTAAAAGTTTTAATTTGAATGACAATAAATTGATTTTAGATTAAGTCTCGATTAATTATTAAATTTCAATTACCGAGTTTTATTATTATTATTATTATATATATATTTTTTCCTTCGCTCTCCTTTTGTTTTACTAAATTAAAGGGTGACGAGGACTTTCTTTTAAAAAACTTGTCATTTTATAATGTTTGCGTGACTTGTACCGACTCTGTTAGGTGTTGGGGAGTTCGATCTGTTTACTAATTCGCCCTGAATACTTCAATTTGTCCAATATGTTTATGGGATCTCAGTCGGAACAAGTCATATTGTTATATAGTATTAATGGAATACCAACGACCAAAATCAATATTTGTATGGAATTTTAAGTCTTGAAATTGATTTCAATAATTGTTTTAAAATTTGCAACTTTAAATAAAAAGCTTTGTTTTTGTTTCTGAATTTCTTTAACACCTTTATTTTCTACTGTATTGTTGCAAATCATACCATCTTCCATATGTGAAATTAAAGACGAAAAAGTTTTCTTATCCATAATAAATTAGTTTAAAACTATGCTTTCTATGACAATTTATTGACGAAAATCCGACTCTCGTTTAAATTTTGTAAGATAAATTTATAGTTAAAAAATATTTTTAAGAACGTTTAATTTAATTTTTAAAATAGTTTAAGTTAATTATGGATTCCTAAATATGGAAAAGAAGATAAACTTTTCTTCAAAATTAATTTATTCTTTTTAAGAAGAAGAATACAGAGATGTGAAGGAATTTCTACAATTTGAAAATTAATATACTTTTTTTCCATATAATTTTATAGTAGTAAATTAAAAATGGTTAATATAATATAAAACTTTTATGAAGTTTATATTAATACGATTTTGTACTAGCAAATATTTTCTTAAAGATTATTATAATCTGCAGAACTTGGATCAATAGTAATTATCATCATTAGGTCTATAATCAATTTAGAATATATTCATTCTTCCCACTCTAAAAATTAATTTAAAAATTAATGTTTATTCGATTAAAAGCGCTGGTAATCTAATTTAACGGAAATGTATACAATATTCTATGATTATTATCTGTAGTGTTTATATTTAAAATAATTAGACTGTAAAACTATAATACTCGGCTGTTTGAAACATTTCTTAAGAGAATTGATTCTATATATTTAAAAACTTGGATAAGATATTTTTAATGTTAATTTAGATATTTTGAATTTTCGTTTAGAGTTTTATTTTAAAATATCATAAATAACTGTTTAATTATAAATTAATTGAAATTAAATAACATACGTTTAAAATTACAATCATTATTATATTAGATAATTTATTAAATTATAATAAATAATATTGATTTCGTATTTTCAAATCTAAATGGCGCTAATTATCATTATTAATTAGTTTTCTTTGCAAAAAACTTCAATCAATCATTAGACGTTTTCCTCTCTGTTACATGCTTGAGAAATGAAATTATCAGCCCATCATTTTGTTGTAAGGTCTAACAGTGTCGGAAGATCCCTGCGGACCTCCCCTCACTCCCCCTCACCTAATGAATCCCATTATAACCCTGCGGGTATCCACACATGGTTGATCCCACCTCTCCACATGGCCGATCAAATCACGTCGCTTATCTGGACAGATGATACACGTCTTGTCAAATCGAACCTAAGTAAAATTGCTTTCGTTAAAATAATAGATTAATATGCCATTTAAAAAATTATTTCAAATTGCTGTTTAGTCGAAATATATTTTACCACCTGAGTATTTTGTAAAACTTAAGGTTTAACTATAACTATAAATGCATTACACTTGCAAGTACGCAAAATTCGTGTCAATCTACATGCGGGGTTAATCCGTTCCGGCTGTGTTAAGTTCTCCACCTTTTTTGACGGTAGCACAAATAAACCGACTGCACCTTTGAAAAAATACATCTAACTATGGTTTTTAGGAGCCATCTAGTAAAAAGTATTGAGCTTTTCAGAATAAAAATTTTGGCATAAAGTGTGTTAACGTAAGCTTATGTTGTCTATGAAAATAAATAAATAATTACTGTATTATAATATTTCAAAAATAGACTATTACTATTATAATGATATTTTTTAATTAAACTTAAAATGTACATATCAGTGAATATTATTAGATCGAAAGCTTATTTAGTTTAGGTAAAACCAAGTTCGGATTTCTTACAAATGGATTAACTGATTGTCCAAAATGATTTCCTTTTCCTAAAAGATTGCCTAATTGGTTGGGAGTTTTATGTACAATTCATGCAACTTCAGTTGGGCATACATCCTTCCCTTCACTTACTCTGGTAAAGACTACGATTAATAAGCATGGATCGAGACGACGAAATGCATCCTGAATGCAGGACATGCTTCGACAATTTTCTGTAGTAATTGTTAGAGAAATATCTGATTCTAACTCATTCAACCTTACATTGATTTGGTATTATTGATCTACACCAAAACAGAATGTTTGAAGATGCTTATTAACTTGACGAAATTCGATGATGTATTGAATTCGATTTACTGTAGACCTTATTTAAATAACTATATATTCAACATAATGATCTTGACATTTTACTTAAGCAGTATGTGTTTTACATCAAAATTCAAAGATTTTTTCTTGTGATAAAAATACCATGATATATGCAAAATTTTCAACTTTTTGTTTTCCTTAAATTTTTGTAATTGTTTATTTATGTTCTTTTAAACATTATAAATATTACAATTATTTAATTTCGAAAGAAATAGCATTTAAATAACATTAAGAAACACCCATGTTAAATACTTAAAATCAAATAAGGAAAAATTTTGTTTCCGGAAATTAAATTCGCTTATCGTGATTATATATGTGTATATTTGTACTGGTTCAAGATATAAACAAACTGTTTCTAATGTAAAGGTATAGTTTCGACCTTTTCTTATTAGTGAACCATTCAAGATATAGGAATCTTGAATGATTTTCTAATAAGTAGGAAATAAACTAGGATATTTTCAGAGGCCTGTATACCTCATTTTAAATTTACGACATTCATAAAAGGCGGCACAATTCGCAAGATCAAACTTTCTATCTTCAGTATAAGGAGCGCTGGACTCCACCAATGTGTACCGAAGAAAGCTCATAGCCTGTCTATCTTGTAACTCCCACATCCAACCTTATCAGAATTGCTATCGTGACAGAATGACACCTTTGTGACAGGCGTTCTCACGATATATATCGCATCCCTGATAGTCCAGTTAACTACCTGGCAGTTCTTCAAATCGTACCTGGAAAAGCTGCGAATATGAGCTTATCAAAAATATATTTCGTTAAGGTTATAATTTCGATTGTTAAGTATCGAAAAGATATTGCTTTAGGAAAAAATATTTTAAAATTAGAATTTTTTTTACATACTGTAATTCGAAAATTTTTCCATTTAAGTTTGAATTTAAAATAAGTTTGCGGTAACGGTATTCTTGCATTCCACCAGATATTGGAATTATATTCAATTAGTTTTGTGAGAAATTGTTAGAACTATTTTATTTTAAACATTAAAATTCTATTGAAAGAGAATAGGTAATAATGTAAAAACATTTGGAGCGCTTTTGCAGAGTAATTTGATCAAAGATAAAGTATCTTTCCCACTCCACGTTTCTTGATAAACATAAGACTAAGACAAATTAACAAGATTGTCACTTCATAATAAAACAAAAAGAAACTGTAATTAGTCTACTTAACTTTATTTATCAAATTACAACATTTTTCTTTTTAAAATACATCAAAATACAGACTCAATACAATTCATTACTTTCACACAAATTTTTATACAGCTATATTTTTTAGATTATTGTCTTTTAAAAAATACAAATCCTGTTTATTAAACGAAAATACATCACCGATGTAGTACTTTCAAAATTCTTGAAACTTGATGAAGGATTATAAACACAAAAGAAGATGATAATTAAAATTTCCCTATAATTAATTATTAGAAAACATTTACATCTATATCAGTACTGATGTATTTTAAACGTTTTAATCTTTAATATTTTAATCAGTTATAAGGAGGGACAACATAATTATACAACCTACCTTAGAATGAAATTTCATTCAGAGTGTGTCCTGTCTTCGTAATCAAACCGGTAATTGGCTAGCTGAGACAGGGATGCCTGAATCATCTCTTTGAAGGGGTGAAAATTTTCCTTCCCCTATCTTTTCGATTGTGAAGTGGGACTACCTGTCAACGACAGAAGACAAGCTTTTTGTCCGTCCAACTCGAACCACGTCCAATGATTATCTTCTTCAGTTTGTCTCTCTCTATTTCCAGTGAAACAGGGTTTCTTATTACAGATACCAAAAATTCGTATTTTGTTGCATGTAAACTATTTTAGTGCTTATGAATTGCCATTTACATAAATATATTACAATATTTATCACCTAATTAATTGATATATATGTATGTTTTACAGTAAATTCTTTTTAAAAATATATATAGAGATAGTCAACTAATTTGATTTTCGTTATCTAATCCATTAGATATACATCTACTGGAATTCTTTATTGGGCTTTTCTTATAAAATCATTGTGGATTTTCAGTTTTATTTTCAACAGAGACTTGTAATAGTGTCATAAAATCATTATTTGGAACTTCTGTTTCTATTAACACAACATATTTACGCTTTTGAAACTCAAGACTGAAAACAAAAAAGAATTTTAAATAATTTTTATTACTAAGCCCAATATTATAAAAATCGAACCAAGATATGTATATTATTATATATTCGATTCAGAAATCTACATTTATAGGCTAGTCTTCGTTCTGTAATACATCAGATCTATAAATAAAAATATAGATATATCCATCCCTATTCATATTAAATCTAGCTCAAATTTAGACTATTACATTTTAATTATTTATAATTTATATCTTATTTCAATCCTCTGGAAAGAAACTACAGTATTGCAATATCTTCTATTCAGTATAAAAGCTTTTTTTATATACATATTTTTAAAATTACTCCTTTATTATGATCGGATAGTAGTATTGAATTAATCGGAATTGCATATTTATAAATGTTTAGAAAGCATATTTACGGTCATTAAATGACTTCTTATCTTTTATGGTACTAAGGGGCGATTTTTATGGCCAATTTTTATGGATCCGTCAGGCATCTTCCTAAATAATTATGTAGAGTCTCAGAAATCGTATTCTCACAACAGATGGATAAGAGAGGGTAACAAAGGCTCCCCACCAATTGTTGACCTCAAGTTCATCTTCCATCTCCAGACGGCACGCTTTAATAAACTTGCTACCGAAGCAGTCAACTTAATTAATTAAACTCATTGTTTCTTTAATAAATTTTAGATTTATCTACAATCAAATTAGATTCAGCCAAACACAAATTTATATATATTATTTAAAATTTAAAAAAGATTTCAAACATTCTGATTAAAAAGTCCAATATACGAAAACAGGAAGCGATGCATCGGATATCTCTTTCCAGAGAGCCATAAAGGCGACTGTCAGAGTATTTCCTGTGCATTATCAATACCGACTGCATGACGTCATGTTCTTTGCATATTTGATCAGTGACATCACAGCAAGTTATTATAAAGATTGAAATTTGCTTTAAAAATATTTAATATTAAGAAATAAATGAAACCGATATTCAATTGACAACTGTCCGTACATTACTCTTACTTGAAGAGAATTACCTTTACTTCTTTCAATCGGATAGAGCAGGATAGCTATTAATATCATTACAAAAGGAGGATACACCCATTAAAGGNTAATATAAATATAAATTTCACGAAAATCAATACGGTCTTGCTTATTTCTTCGAGAGTTGTTTCCTTCTATTCATATTCAGGAGCGATTTGAGAAAAAGCAGCAAAAATGTTTCATAAGCGTTATTTTCGAACTACTTAAGATAAAATGTCTCTTATTAATAACGTTAGAAAGAAAAATGTCTTTCTAATGAAACCGTGATGTAATCAGATGTGCAAATAGGATTGTGTATCAGGATGAAAGGCAGGAACCCGATCCTTAGATGCGATTCAAGTAAAGCAGTCGGGAAGTGAAGCATAGATACAGATGAGGTTGTCTCCCAATTGCAAGCCATCCGAAGAAATCGAAACATTCTTCTACCCATAGATTAGTTGAGTCAATAAATTGCAGAGTTGTTACACGTTGAGTCGATCCTTTTGATTCCTCTAGCCAATAGAGAATTACTTTCTCTATAGAGCTAGTCTAGCTTATAGTAGCGATAGTTTATTCTAGACAGCTCTATATTTGATCAATCTCTCTTCTCATATTAAATTCATTGAGGCTTACTTGAATCTAAATCTGTTGTAGTGTTAATACTTTGCCGGTTTACAGCTATAACTGTGTAAAGTGCTTAAGTTCAAATGATTCTATCTTATATATCGTTAATGCGTTATTATCTTCGGTGATAATCATACAGAGTTTATATTATAAAAAAATTCGATACTTATTTCTTTAAAATTAAAGAATTAGATAGAAACCATTTATATATGTAAATAATCTTAAGCGGATTTATTGAATAATTTTTAACTATCGTATTTTAAAACAGGAGAAAAAAACGTTTAATAATTTAGATGGAACTTAATTGGATTCTTATTAATTATAAATTTTCTTGTTTTCTTATTTTACTTATAAAAATATTTGTAAATTTTTAAGCGAAAATTTTCTTTAAAATTCGTCGATGCCTGATTTCTTATAAAGAGACTTATTAAAGTGATCAAAAGATTTCAATTATGAAAAGAACTTTCTCTCTCAACTCATTACGAACTCTCTAAAAGATGTTGTCCCTTCGAGCGTTTTAATTTCGGTGCTTGAGATAATAATGTTTACCTTCTACAGAATTCTTTAATTTCTCTTCGACTGAAAGACTATCCGTTCGCAAAAATAAGAAACTTTCACTTGGGCACTTCTAAAAGTATTTATTTCTCTTTGCTCTTTACCTGCAATTCTTTATAATAATATCTGCTAAGATTTTAAAAAGTAACGATTAATTTCTTTTTTTATTAAATTTAGATTGGTTTAAATTAAATTACGGATAGACTTATCCGTTTGTATTTCTTCCGTGCCACACAACTTTTTCATAATTATTATTTATGTAAACATAGTAATTTACAGTTGCAATAACAAAACGAGACGATTACAGATAACATAATAAAGTATCATGCAAATAAAAATTTTCGGGTTTATTCTATTTAATTAATAAATTGTTAAAATCGTTTAAAAACATATTTTATTTAAATAAGTTATCTATTGAAATATCTTTACGTCGCTAGCGCCAAGTTCAGCGTTTTAAATTAGAAAAACTATGCATCATTAACCGATATTTTGTAATACTATTTAATATTTATAGGAAACATCGCGCAATCTTCATATTTAACCTATTAAAACTATAATTATTTAAACAAATTTATGCATTTAATTGAAAAATGAAAACTTTTGTTTCAAATTAACTACGAAAAGATTTCAGGTGGAAAAACTTGAAATAATTTGGATATATATATATAAAAAAAGTTACACTTTATCATTGGATAACTTGTTATTTATAATTATAGAATAATTGTTATTATAAACAATTATTTTATAATTTAGCAAGCAATTGTGTAAAACATATTAAAAATTAGATGGAATTTTAAATAGTTTCGTATCTGAAATTTTCTTGAAATAAATAATAGGCCTATTCAAACTTTTAATGTCTATTTCTATTTATAATAATAAATCAAATCATCATAGTTAAAATTTTAATATAATAAAACTTAAAAGATAAATCTTTAATGCCGAATTTTAATTTTATACATGTTTTTTACAAGTATTGGATAATCATAACTAATATAAGCTGCTATTTTTGAACGGAGGTTAACATAGAAAAGATTCCAGAAGCGACGATGAATTTCCTTTCTAAAAAAAAAAGACGAATCCGAAAATAAAAGTAAAAAGTATGTGCCCGAATCATGAAGTTGTGTTCAGGTGTCGTTCTTCGATCCGCATCCCGGTTTAATTTTAGCCGGAAAGCCATTTAAAAGAATTACTATGGCGAAGTAATCTTCAAATGCCGAAAGAAGAGAAAAAGGCAATCAAACAGAAAGTCTTTCACAAGGGAAACTATTGGAAATTGTTTTGTCGATGCCAAACTAGAGGTGTCTTGCTAGACTGGATTTTTTACTATTGGGAAATAGTCGCTAACTTAAGTTTCAATTTTTATATTATTTTTTCGCGTGTATCCTTTTTTATTTTTAGATATTACAAATTATAGAAATAGTAGCAGTTTTTATTTTTTAAATTTGATTCTTTAATAAATAATATAGAAAGTAATACGTTCGAATTATTTGTTTAAAAGATGATATACTTATATAAGGATTTAAATATAGATTTCGGAATTTATTTTAACCACTTAGGCCTGCCTAGAATTCATTTCGAAATTTGATTGATTCTCCGCGTATTAAAAATAAAAATAAGACTTTTGAAAGTTTTCATAAAATTAATTTAATACTTTAACATATCTGAATAGCATCTGACTTTTGAAAGTTTAAATTCTTACTTTTTAGAAATAAAATTTGTTTAAAATTAGATTGTATCTGTAGAAATTAGTCGTGTGAAAACTACTTTTAGTTTCTATGATAACAGAAATTTTCGAATAAATTTGGCCTAATTTTAACAGAAGTTATCCTTGACAGTTTCCATTAACAAATTACAACACTTTCACTCGTTTTAGTCCAAAGCATTATACTTCGATAATGAGAAACTTGCGAAATATTATCAGTTTTTGCGAACGAATCAACAGACGGCCAAGATATAAAATAATACATAAACCTTTATCCAAAAAATAGTAAAAATTATCGTAAGTTATATTATTTAAAATTTAAAAAAGATTTCAAACATTCTGATTAAAAAGTCCAATATACGAAAACAGGAAGCGATGCATCGGATATCTCTTTCCAGAGAGCCATAAAGGCGACTGTCAGAGTATTTCCTGTGCATTATCAATACCGACTGCATGACGTCATGTTCTTTGCATATTTGATCAGTGACATCACAGCAAGTTATTATAAAGATTGAAATTTGCTTTAAAAATATTTAATATTAAGAAATAAATGAAACCGATATTCAATTGACAACTGTCCGTACATTACTCTTACTTGAAGAGAATTACCTTTACTTCTTTCAATCGGATAGAGCAGGATAGCTATTAATATCATTACAAAAGGAGGATACACCCATTAAAGGCTGTCGTGCTGTCTTCATTTCCAATCTGGAAAGAATCAGATTAAATAGAGAG